CAGCAACATAACGTTGTCGTTACTGCGCATGCGATAAATCTCCAAGAATCTTGGAGATTTCATCGTATTTTACCAGGGTCTTCCTCAGCTCACGCGCCACCACGAGGAAGACCCTGGGGACGAGGTTGTTGTTAAATATCAACACGAGTGGAAAGTGGGGAAACGAGAAATTGTGTGGAAACACGACGCCCGAAGGGCGGAGTGTTTTCACACAATTTCGAGATTTCCCAACTTCCACGAGTGTTGATATAACGATATATCAATACGGAAAAAATGTTTTATATTTGTTTTATAATATAGCAATGTCAAAAGCCCGAAGAATAAGAAAAATTTCCGTGTTTACAAGCGGCGGAAAATTTCCCGTGTTGACATGGAGTTATATCAACACGGCTCTTAGCCAATCAGCGTTCAGAATTTACAAATGCTATATTATAAACATTTCTAATACATTACATTTGCGCTCAACAGTTCATTAAGTGAGTTTCTAGAAAGGATGAAAACTCCGTTTTATATATGGTATGTAAAAGGTAATCGTTGTTTACTGTTTACTGTTTTTTGTATTCAAGTATGGGGAATTTGAGCGATGAGAGTTGCAAAACGTGCAAATGTAGTCTGACTAGTGTCTTTGACGTCATCATGCAACTATTTAATATTGTGCTACATTCATTATTCAATTTATTCGCAGCAATTAGCCTTCTATAAGCCATACAAATGATTGTAGCTTATAGCCCACCTTGCCTTTAACATTGATTCTATATATAATGAATTAACATAACTAACTTGATTATGTTGCTAGTCGAGTATGGGACCTATGGGTCTTCTAGATCCTAGAGTAGCACAATTAATATAAAGTCTCCGTAAGGCGGTAATATTAAAGACTGTTCTTATTTATGCATGACCTTTGACTATTAAGTGGCCAAAAACTGTGCCTACGGTAGTCAACTTATTCCACTATCCAGGTGCATCACTTTTGATTCAAAACACCCGGGTTTATTATACATGGATTTGCTAGCAAAATAGCAGCAATTGATGAACTTGGTGTTATACTAAGATTTACTAAATGTGTAAAGAAACAACGCAACGTATATATCAATCAGAGTCACTATCTTGATCAATTTCCGATGGGATCTCCAAAGAAAGTAGCTACATGTGCAGACAACATGAAACTTCAGACTGCAGAAAATTTCACAATCCGTTATTAAACTTATGTCACAGAAGTGGTAAAGGACATATGTGACAACTGAATGGTACCTTTTGTAAATATTTTGGCCAGGGGTGGGTATTTATTTTTTAATTGATATTTGAGGTTGGGTAATCATTTTTTTTACTTTTTAATGGTTGGGTCAGCAAAATTTTTGCTACGAAAAACATTTCTCTTCGGTGCCACCCCCCGCCATAAATAATGACCGGTCCCTAAACGTTCGAGATATACAAACTCCAAAATCCTGATATGGGCACACAAATAATCCTAACCATAAAAGTATAAATAAAATAAATAAGTAGTAATCCGCGATTATACCTGGTACTGGTGAGTACGATGCTTTCTGCTCTGTAGAATTTGCGTCCTCATCCGTAGTTTCAACGTTCTTAGAATCTACATATGGAAATAATATTAAAACATATTTACAATTTAAATATGTAAGAAAAACTACTGCATGTAAAATAAGTCCAAATCACGCTCGGTTTGAATATCAATCTCAAAACTTTAAAAGATCTCGTATTATTTAGCTACATTCTTCCCGATTCGAGTCTTGGATAACGAGTTTTGGTAAAAAGTGAACGTTGTTTTCTCACAAATGTTGTTGTTTTTGTTGTTGTTGTTGTTCATGAAGAATAAATTGATATTGCCGGGTTTATTGTCGTCGCAAAGTTCACAGATTTAAAAGAAGGATGTTTCAAATATGAGAAAGCTTCCTTGGCCAGCGCGTCTCGCTGTGTCTGCATGATCAAGGAGGGCAACGGTCGTAAAGATGTTAACGATGCAGACACACATTTTTGTTCGTTCTCGCCCGCGAACGTAAAAATTGGGGGCTCAGGCAGGAAACGTAGAAGGAATGTGACAGTATTCTAATTAGCAAACGTCTGAGCTTGGTAAATTGACTTTCTGTGTCTCCAAGATTGAACAAGGCAACTCCCAAACCAGTAAGTACCTTCTCATGCAAGAGGTGATGATTGGGCTTTGTTCCAAGAATATCCGAAGTTACAAATTATTGAATTGGTTCGACAATCCCGTAAAACGGCAACGAACTTCGTTGTGTAATGGGTTAATGTTAAAACATCGCACCTTTCAGCGCGTCGTTATATATTGGGCCTAAAATTTTATCTGTACGGTTTAATTCAAAGGCAGAAATTGAGGGAAGGTGGCCCGGCCCAACGTTTGGCGTTCTGCAATCAATTTGTGAATATGGTTCAGCAAATTATTGCAGGTTTTCTAAATCACCTGATAATATCTGCTAAGGCAGTTTTAGCCCAAGTTCATAAATTAGCACGAAAAATGTCAGGAAATACGCAGCTCAACTTTTAAATGTTTTTTTTTTGTTTTAAATTTGAAAGTAATTAGTTTCGTATGGAAAATAACTACAGCATAAAAAGCGAACTAAGAAAAAAAAGAAGGAAAATCTTTGAAGCATATCTGAATTTCGACTAACAAAAAAATTGCGCCATAACTTTTGTAAGAAGTTTTCAATTCAAGATTTCGTAGCGCTTTGCATTGTGGTTATAGTGGTATCACTAATAAAGATAGCGGCCTCGAATGAAAATATTGAATGTTTTCGCGAATATTTTGCTGTTTGCTATCGCGCACCTGACCCTAACTTTTTTTAAAAGCTCTTGCTTGGATTAGCACAAAAAATAAGCCATCTTGAATATCAGTGAGACCACTATAACCACAATGCAAAGCGCTACGAAAATGTAATAAGGGGAATTGTCAATTGAACTTACCTGGTGTTTGTGACGACGACATTTTCTTTGCAGAATTTTTGCTCTGGTGCGTAAGGTCAACGTTGGGATGATCTATATAATGAGATAAAGAATTTTAAAACTTCAATATATACAATATTAGCCGAGAAATATCAGGCAATCGTATTTACCTTAATATACTGTATATACAATATCTGTATTTTATTGTCTATCAGATATAACTACCTTGGTGGGCTTTTTCATCAGCAAATTCTCGAGCCATGCGAATTGATTCAGCTCCTTTTTGAGTATTTCCAAGATTGGACCAGGCAATTCCCACGCCAATCAGAGCTTTCTTTCTGAGAAGGTTATCATTCAGATCAATTCCAAAAATATCCAACGCCTTTTCATACCACTTTATTGCCATCTCGTAATCACAATCTTTGCTACAAACTGAAGCCAGATCTAAATATGATGTTGCTTCACGATGTTTATCTCCCAGTTCCTTAGAATTTATCAAAGCTTTTTGGTAATATTCCTTCGCCTTTTCATAATTACCGGTGTTGCAGAAGACAGCTCCAATGGCTTGATTTATACGACATTCTTGATATTTTTCTCCAACTTGTTTGGCAATTTCTTTTGCCCTTTCATAACATGTTATAGCTTCTTGATCTTGGCCGGCAATCAAACCGCAGCAATATCCGCACCATTCATTAATAATTCCCTCTACAGGTTTCTCAAAACAAATCCTTTGCATTTCTTTATTGATGCTTAACGCTGCCTTGTAAGATTCAATGGCTTTCTCGTGTTTCTTTAATTGTCGAAAGGTGTCGCCGAGCATGAAATAGGCGTAGGCTTCTTCTTTTTTCTCACCAAGATCGTGGGACATTTCTTGAACTTTGAGGTACGACTTGGCAGCCGCATCATACTCACAATTCTTGTAGTATATATTTCCTAGATTTGTATGTGCTTCCTTTTGGAGACCTTTGTCATTGATCTCTTTGACTTCAGCTACTGTAAGTGCTTTTAAGAAATACTTTCGCGCGGACTCAAACTCGCCAGTATAACTATATGCACTTCCTAATCCCAGGTAAGCGTTGATTTTCCTCTTTAGATCACCAAGCTGTGAGGCAAGTTCCAAAGTTTCTTTGTAATATGTTATGGATTCTTGGTACTGACCAGTTTGCAAATGGTTGTAACCTAGCCATTGGTATGCTATTACTTCCAGCTCATCTGTTTTGATGCCTGGAAATATTTTACGTGCTTTCTGATAATGCTCAATTGCTTTCTTATACTTGCCATTTCTAGTAGATACGTTTCCCATTTGTTGATAAGCTTTTGCTTTGCTCTCTTTAAGATCTGTTTCATTCACAACTGGAGGTGGTTGTTTGTTGCTTTTCATAACATCTTCATTTTTACCCCCATTTGATTTGGAATGCTCCATTCGGTTAACATTATCGCCGGTGTCCTGAAGTTCAACGCTATCGGATGTGTCTGATGCTGGAATAGCTTTGTTATAATTATCGTTGACTGCATCTATAAATTGAAAGATTAAAAACACACGAATGGGTCACAAGAATATAAATCTCATGCGAAATGTCTATATGCTTTTACATATTAAGTTATATGTTGTTATACACGTTATATTCGAGCAAAATTTGTTGTAAGGATTTTTATATCTTAATACGCCATACGAATTGTGGCAAATTTGGGAAAAACATAGATTCAATAATTTTTCCATGGTTTAGCATGCTCGATTGTCCTTTGAGCACATGCATGGAAGTTAGGAAAGGACAAAAAAACCGTAAGTTTATGGTCGAGGCGTTAGCTTTTTGAAATCAAGTATACTGATATGCCAAGCCACATCATGAAAAACTCTTGTATATATATGATTATATAATGTTTTAGTAAAATACAATACAGTCAGTATATTGGTTAAGTTAATAAGGGTATTTAGTTCGAATTTATTAAAGACCAATGTGTTTGAATGAATGTTTGTTTCTTTTGATTTATATATTTTTTTTGTTTGAATTTTTTTCCACTGAATAACTATATTTTGATTCAGCAATGGACCAAGTGGTCCATTGCTGCATCAAAATTTAGTTATTCAGTGGAAAAAAATTCAAACAAAAAAAACATAAATCAAGTTGTGGAAGTGTACTTATTCAAGTTGTGGAAGTGTATTTATTCAAACTTTGCTCACGATATTTACGCCATTCGAGTGAATGGAGTTAGTTGGCAGTTAAGAGTATATGTGACAGCGGTCTTTGTCTAAACAATTATATTTTATACAGAATCCTAAATCATGATTCCTAATACACCAAAGTCGATAAGTATTTGGGTAACCGAAAGATACTTCAAACGTGAAGGTTATTTGCTTACCTGCATTGCTTGATAATTTTTCAGTTGCATTTCTTGCAATATTTTCGTCTTGACGTTTGTCTTCACGCTCTTTAGCATTTGCGTTCTCTAAATATTCAGTTTGCGTTTGACCCTCTACGTTCTTTTTATAAGTATTTCCTAGTCCATGTAGCGCCCGCATTTCCTGTTGTTTGTCTCCTCGTTCTTGTGCAATTTCTTTGGCTTTATTATAGTACTCAAATGACGCATGAATTTGATTGTTCAATTCGTGAGTACGTCCCAAACCAAGTAATGCATCTGTTTCCTGTTTTTTATCTCGTTGTTCTTTTGCAATTTCCAAGGCTTTCTCAAAGCATTCAATTGCCGTTTTGGGGTTAAGCTGGTTTTGAATTCCATAAATATCTCCTAACGCAAGGTATGCGGTTGTTTCTTGCTGTTTATCGCCTTCTTCATTTGCAATTTTCATGGCTTTCTGAAAACATTCAATTTCTTTTTCAATCTGATCGTTTAATTTATAAGCATCTGCTAATCCAAAGTATGCCGATGTTTCCTCACGTTTATGTTCTCGCCGTTTTGCAATTTCCAATGCTTTCCTAAAGTATTCAATTGCCATTTGAATTTGTTTGGTAGACAAATAAGCAACTCCTAACCCAAGTGATACCTTTGTTTCTTGGTCTTCATTTCCTCGTTCCTTCGCGATTTCCAAGGCTTTCTCGAAGTATTCAATTGCTGCTTCAAACTGTTCATTTAAACGATAAGAATCTCCTAATCGAATGTATGCCTGTGCTTCTTGCTGTTTATCTTCTTGTTGTTTTGCAATTTCTAAGGCTTTCTGGAAGTATTCAATTGCTGTTTCAAACTGTTCGTTTAAACGATAAGAATCTCCTAACAAAACGCATATATCTGTTTTTTGCCTTTTATCTTCTTGTTTCTTTGCAATTTCTAAGGCTTTCTCAAAGTATTCAATTGCTGTTTCAAACTGTTTGTTTGAACGATAAGAATCTCCTAGCAAAATGTATATATCTGTTTCTTGCCGTTTATCTTCTTGTTTCTTTGCAATTTCCAAAGCTTTCTCGAAGTATTCAATTGCCATTTGAAACTGATTGTTAGATATATAAGCAAGTCCTAACCCAAGTGATACCTTCGTTTCTTGGTCTTCATTTCTCCGTTCCTTTGCGATTCCCAAGGCTTTCTCGAAGTATTCAATTGCTGTTTCAAACTGTTCGTTTACACGATAAGAATCTCCTAACCGAATGTATGCCTGTGCTTCTTGATGTTTATCTTCTCGTTGTCTTGCAATTTCCAAGGCTTTCTCGAAATATTCAATTGCTGTTTCAAACTGTTCGTTTGAACGATGAGAATCTCCTAACAAAAAGTATATATCTGTTTCTTGCCGTTTATTTTCTCGTTTTTTTGCAATTTCCAAGGCTTTCTCGAAGTATTCAATTGCCATTTGAAGCTGATTGTTAGATATGTAAGCAAATCCTAACCCAAGCGATATCTTTGTTTCTTGCTCTTTATTTCCTCGTTCCTTTGCGATTTCCAAGGCTTTCTCGAAGAATACAACTGCTGTTTGAAACTGCTTGTTTAAATAATAAGAATCTCCTAATCCAATGTATGCCTGTGCTTCCCGATGTTTATCTTCTCGTTGTTTTGCAATTCCTAAGGCTTTCTCGAAGCATTCAATTGCTGTTTGAATCTGATTGTTCAATCTGTAAACTTCTCCTAACACCATGTATACTCCTGCATCTTTCTGTTCAACTCCTCGTTCCTTTGCAATTTCTAATGCTTTCTCCAAGTATCCAATTGCCCTTTGAATCTGATTGTTCATTAAACAAGTATTTCCCAACTGGGTGCATGCATCTGTTTCCATCTCCTTATTTCCTTGTTCCTTTGCGATTTCCAAGGCTTTCTCGAAGAATACAATTGCTGTCTCAAACTGTTTGTTTAATTGATAAGAATCTGCTAATCCGATGTATGCCTGTGCTTCCTGATGTTTATCTTCTAGTTGTTTTGCAATTCCCAAGGCGTTCTCGAAACATTCAGTTGCTGTTTGAATCTGATTGTTCAATCTATAAGCTTTTCCTAACACCATGTATACACCTGCATCTTCCTGTTCAACTTTTCGTTCCTTTGCAATTTCTAATGCTTTCTCCAAGTATCCAATTGCCTTTTGAACCTGGTTGATCATTAAACAAGTATCTCCCAATTGGATGCATGCATCTGTTTCTATCTGCTTATTTCCTTGTTTCTTTGCAATTTCTAAAGCATTAACATAGGATTCAATTGCCTTTTGAATCTGACTATTCGATCTATAAGTTACTCCTAACAAAAAGTACAGATTTGATTCATTTTGTTGGTCGTCTTGTTCTTTAATAATTGCCAAGGCTTCTTCAAAGTGTTCAATTGCCATTTGAAGCTGATTATTGGTGCTATAAGCACATCCTAACTCATAGTATACACAGTCTTCAATCTGTTTATTTTTTTCTTTCTTTGCCAATTCCAATGCTTTCTCGTAGGACTTAATTGCCGGTCGAAACTGACTGTTCAGTATATATGCCCGTCCTATCGCAAGATACGCCATTGTTTGTTGCATTTTATCCCCTCTTTCGCTTGCAATTTCCAAGGCTTTGTCCAAACATTCAATTGCCGCTTGAAACTGATTGTTTAATCTGTAAGTAAGTCCTAAGGCAAGTAATGCTTCTGCTTCCTGTTGTTTATTTTCTTGTTCCTTTGCATTTTCCAAGACTCTTCCATAATATTCAATTGTTTTAAAATGGTCTTTCATAGAACTATAAGCACGTCCTAACTCAAGGTATACTTCTGTTTCTTGCCATTTATAACGTAGTTCTTTTGCAAGTTCCAAAGCTTTCTCAAAGTATTGAATTGCCATTTCAAACTGATTGCTCATTTTATAACTACGTCCTATTCCAAGATACGCTTCTTTTTGTTGCATTTTGTCTCCTGTTTCTTTTGCAATTTCTAAGCCTTCCTCAATACATTCAATTGCTGCTTGAAACTGATTGTTTAATCTATAAGTACGTCCTAACGCAAGTAATGCCTCTGATTTCTGTTGTTCATCCTCTCCAATTTTTGCGATTTCCAAGGCTTTCTCAAAGTATTCAATTGCCATTTGAAACTGATTGTCTAATCTATATGCATCTCCTAAGACAAGGCATGCCTTGGTTTCTTGCTGCTTATGTCCTTGTTCTTTTGCAAGTTGCAAGGCTTTCTCATAGTATCCAATTGCTGTTTGAGACTGATTGTTAAACATGCAAGCAACTCCAAATACGAGGTATGCCTTGCTTTCATGTTGCTTATGTCCTTGTTCTTTTGCAATTAGCAATGCTTTCTCAAAGTATTCAATTGCTGTTTGAAACTGATTGTCCAACAGGTGGGCACCTCCCGTCAAAAAGGATACTGTTGTTTCCAAATCTTTATCATTTTGTTCCTTTGCAATTGTTAAGGCTTTCTCAAAGTATTCAATTGCCGTCCGAATCTGATTGTTCACTCTATAAGCATCACCTAAATTAATGTAGGCCATTGCCTCCTGTTTTTTATCTTTCTGTTCCTTTGCAATTTTCATGGCTTGCTCATAGTACTCAGTTGCCTTGTCAAACTGATTATTAATTCCATAAACATCTCCTAATCCGAAGATAGCCTCGGCTACTTTTTTTCTATCCTCCTGATCCTCAATTGGCAGTTGAATCTGGTCGCTTTCTAAATATGAGTCAGTGGAGTTAAGATAGGCTTGTAGTTCATGATTCTTTTCGCGGTTTTTCTCCATTTTAATGCGTGTGGATGCGTTCTAGTGAAATACTGTTGACCTTAACAATTAAACATAGAGATGAATTGATGAGTCAGTATTTGAAAATTTGAAAACTATATTTTAAAATTTACGCTGAGGCTATCGAGACTGATAGACCTACGACGACTAATCAACATCCGATGTCAGTCTAATTTTTTAAAATTCAATTTTCCTGTTTCAGAAGAATAACAATTTTTTCACTAGGGTTTTGTGTACAGAACTCAAAACAGATAATATGTTAGAGAAACTACGTTAGTAAATGATATAGCTTGCAATTACAGTACAACAATATGTTGTTATATGGAACTTCGATATTCCGAAACCTTCGATACGATTGTTTTGAATACAATTGCATCGATATACCGAAATTCCAGTTGGTCGTATTTTGACTCAGTCTATTACAGGTTTGATAAGAGACTTATACAGAAAACGATAAGTAAGTACTTACCAGGCTGATAAACAATTATCTAAGATTAAAAAACGACGGATGTGAAGATCACCAAGCTGTAGTGTAAGATTGGCCCGTGCAGCAATCGCAATTCTTGAGTTTACTCTCAAATATAAACTTTAGAAAAGTTGAGAAAATTTGGACATCTGAAAGGCAAATGAAAATATGTTCTTTGTAGCGTTTAGCAATTATCAACATGCGAGCTTTGAAAGCGCGACAATTTCTAAAGCTCATGCAGTGGGAGGAATTTTAGTGTAAGAAAGAGTTCTATTCTAAATCTGTTCTGCTGCTTTAAGGAATTGAATTGCTTCGATTCCCTAAGCAATTCTTTCCTTCTCTCTTGTAATTTTCATTTTCGCTGCAAATCAATTATTGCTGCGGAGCGAGCGAGCCTGAAGCGGAGCGAGCGTAGCGGCAGCCTAATATATGCAGAGAGGGGGTTTTGAACTAAATTTTATTAAGCGCATGGAATTGTGGTCGTGCGCGCTTTCTATGCGCAGAACACAAATTTTAAACTCGCTCGAGTCTTCGAATTTTTATCGAATTTCTAAAGCTTTTTCAAGTCTAATGTTACGTAACTTACGCTTACATTTGTTTTGGACTTTGGCCACTATCAGTTCTATATTTTTATCAAGTTTTTGTTTCTTAGTGTGATAAATCTGTGTATATAGTCTATATAATGTGGTAGATGCGCCTAGCATTAAACAGACTTGATATGAAAACTGATCCTTAATTTCCTGTATGTCAATGAGACGCACATGTTTAATATATGTCACCTCTGATTGCCCTTTAACCCCTGGTCTTTGCTTGCATGACACTTGCATGACACTTGCTATTTCAATGTATATTGCTTCTTCTCAGTTCCATTCACAGCTCACTAGACGCTGCGACTGTGCTTCATATAATTTGTGCTTTTTACTGTAGTTCTATTTGCTTTTAATGCCCGCAGCAATCCCTACCTTGCAGGTACCCTAGTAATATCATTATATGAATGACTAGCTTGCTGGCTTCGGTAATGACAGCTTAGAAAATTCAGCGACACTTTGATCAATATATCATGTTCAGCACTCGAAATAAATCTGGTATTTCCGCGCACTCGTGTATTATTCTCTATTTTTAATATATTTAATAATATATTTTATTGACCAGTAGCGTAACCAACCCTGCCCCTGCCTCCCCTACCCCAATGATCACCGGAACTATTCTTTAGTGAAAAGTTAAAATCCGGGAAAAGGTGGGGGGGGGGGTGGTACAATGTCTTCAATAAAAAGGTTTCTTTGAACGTGATGGGGTCTGTTGGGAACTTGGGGGCAAAATTAATTTGGTATATTTTTCCCGATTTAGTAAATTTTGAATACAAAGTTTAGTAATAACCGCTGGAAATATCTGGTCACACTGGTTACTCATCCCGGGCTCAAATTTGCCATTTAATTGTGAAACAATTTCAGCTCCGTTAACCGGGTTGAAATTTTCAGCCCTGGCTGAAAACTCCCCATGAACAGCCCCTAAGTCCTAACAATATTACACAACTCTTTTAGCCAGTAAATCGGGCTAAAACTGTCGCATGCAACCTGCTTACAACTGTTGTGCGTTTTTACGTGTGTACTCATGTACTTTGTAAATCAAGCACGCAATACGTTGTCGTAGGTGAATTGTGTGCTTGATTTACACACTGTACAACTTAAGTTCCAAGCAGAGTTGCATGTGATTTCCCTTCCCAACTTTTCTATAAATCCCATTTCCCAGCCCAAGGACGACTTGCGCTTTAGAAAAATTTTTAATCCGGGAATAACAAAGGATATTTTCGGAAAGAAGTTATCAAAATTAGAAGTTATAAAAAAAGTTTGGTTGCGAAATATTGTAAAATACGGAAAATATAGCCCTGCGAAGTTGGCAAATTTGTATACATTTCTATTACGTGCGGAAATTGGTAACTAATTTAGTTACCAATTCACGCACGTATACAAAAGTATACAAATTTGCCAACTTTGAAGGGCTATATTTTCCGTATTTTACAACATTTCGCAACCAAACTTTGTAATATTACTAATTCCAAGACGCTCTTTCCAGCTGTGGTGATAGATTTCGTTGTTCTTACTTAGATTAAAATTTAGTCTAAAGCGCAAGTCGTCCATTGGAGTACAGACACAGTTAATACAATTCAAGACTGACTTGTGAGATGATAAAGGTCGCCAAGTGCTGGGTCAAGTGGTGCTATATGAGTGATCATGATCATATTAACATTTCTTCGCCGTAGTAAGAAAACAAACGCTTCGTACAGTATTTTTTTCCTTGAGACGTGATATTAATTAAAAGCTGGCTGAGGGCTCAACACACATATTAGCCTGCGTAGCAATATTTGAGGATATTACAGAATACGCCGTTGTGATGGTTTGGTTTGTTTCATCTTATATCTTCCGTTTATACGAGATTGTTTTCAGTGTGATAATGTGCATAAGGCCTGCCGCGGTTTTTAGAGTTGCCTTCTTTAATTAATACTTCGATTACGTAATTTCGAGCGTAGACAAATTACGTAATTTGACGATTAAGATGAGAAAAATGACAAGTTGCCCCAGCGACTAATTAATAAGCACTAAATGAAAGAAATCACAACTGTGACGGACTGGATATTTGTTCTTAATTTGCATAGAATTGTGTCCACTTTAAACTTAAATTTCTCTTAAAATATTCATTTGTGAATTGGCTATTACTATAACAAGGACCGGTAAACCCTCATAATTTCGCAATCGCCAAATATGGTTGGAAGGATTACGCATTCTGGTCACAAGACTGATTTCGAAATTCGCACTTCCGTCGGCAGATGTAAGCCAATATATGAAACACTTTCCACTGCATGGTTATGTCGCAAGATGTAGCTTAAAATTAACTTTCATCGTGATTGTATCGTAAAGAATATGGCCGAGGGTTACGACACAACCCGCTTTCATTCAACTATTGACGAGGGCTTTGTTTGCTGTATCTGTCTCGGTGTCTTACAAGATCCAAAGCAATGTGAGAACAACGAGCACTATTTCTGTTCTGGTTGTATCAAGAAACACCTGGAGAAGACCTCGCATAGTTGTCCTGTCTGTCAAGATAAACTGACGGTAGAGACATTGCGTAAGGCTCCAAGAATTGTGGCCGACTGTGTTTCCCGTTACAAGATCAGTTGTGACCATGCAGCGAGAGGCTGTGATGCGGTTCTCGAGCTTGGAGCTCTACAGGCACACGTTGTTCAGGACTGTGATTTCAAGCCTGTCACTTGCTCAAATGACGGTTGTAACGAAGTCGTGAGCAAACGAGATGTAAAGCAACACGAGCTCGATTTATGTCGCTTCAAGACGACAACCTGTGACGACTGTGGGAAAAATATGTCTCATCATGAATATGGCACCCATGGCTGCGTACTGCGACGTGATGTAGACGAAATGAAGAAAGATCTAGCGGAAGTGAAAGCCACGCAACACGAAATGATGACGTGCATGCAACGAGTAACGATTGCGGTTGAAAGTCTTCAAAAGTCTGTAAACTCCAAGAGTACTGATATTGTTGTCGTCGCTGGTTGCAATTACAAAACAAATAAGAGTCTTTGTTCTGTTGAGCGATTTAACTGGTTAAAGCAGACCTGGACACAACTGCCAGGGTTGAAAATAGCTCGAGCGGGTTCTGCAGCTGTGGTGTTTAAGAATCAAGTGTTTGTTTGTGGCGGGTTCAGCGATTCTGTTGGGCGTCTGGATAGCATCGAAGTATTGGATCTGAATGATAATCCTCCAGAATGGCACAAGTTTTTTGTCACTCGTCCTATCAAGGTCACTGCATGGTCACAAGTGCATCGTCCATGGCGATCGTTTGCTGATCATTGGTGGCGAAACGAAGTCAGGCGAGAGTTTGGATACGATATACGAGCTTCTCCTTGTTCCTCCGTATTCATCCAAGTTGCTTTGTCACATGAAGAAGAAACGAGCGTACCATGGAGTGGAGTTGTTCGCTGGTAAAGTTTTAATCGCTGGTGGAATCGGAGCGGAAACTGATGTGGAAATTTTCGACATAGCAAGAAATGAATGTGTTGAAATGCCAGCTCTGCCATCTCGTCTTTCGAATATGGCCACTGTTCGCCATGGTGGCACCATGCTTTTGATTGGAGGCGTGGAGAATGGAAAAGCCAGCAAAAAGATTATCGAATACGATTTCGAAACTGGCCAGAGCAAGGTCCTATTGACCATGAAAACGGAACGAGCTTATTGTTCGTGTGTTTGTCGTGGAAACACGCTCATCGTAATTGGTGGTGCGAAAGACGACCCTGCTGCAGTGGATTGTTTCAACTTTTTATCAAATTCTTGGAAGAGATTACCCCCAATGGCTGAGGCAAGGATACTTGCTTCTGCAGTTGTTGTTAATTAGGAAAATTTGGAATTTTGACAGTTGTTAACGAATACTGACATACTATATTAGTAATACAATTATATACAACCTTTTAAAATAGATAGAACTAATATATGCGAAGACTGTAAGAACAGCAAATGGAACAATAGTTATTGCTTAACTTTGTTGAAGAGGTCTTCTGGCTTTTTGTCAACATTATGTAACCAGTTGATTTTGTAAATAAAATTATGTTCAGAAAATTATCCAGTTTTGCTGCAACCATGGGAAATCAACGACATACTTTGACATTCTCAGTCAAGTACTCAACTACACACGTAAAAATCTCACATCTTGTAGCAAGTTTGTCAACACCTTGTGTTCGCACTGCTTGCCGCAAGTTGTCAACATGTTTGTAACAAGTTGGTAACAACTTGTGACAACCCTGTTGATATTATCAGACTTGTTATTAGACCTGGTACAGTCATGATATGACAATATTGTTACAACCTTGTAACATTCTTGTTACTTCATGACTGTATCAGACTAATAAGAACAACCTTGCAACAAGTCTGATAATGCCATCAAGCTTGTTACAAGTTGTTAACAGCTTGTGCCAAACCTGTTACAACAACTGGGAACAAGCAGTGCGAACACAACTTGTCGACAGCTTGTGAACAGATTTGTAACAACTTGTTTGCAGACCTGTAACAACTTGTGTGTTTTTACGTGTGTAGTCGTTGCAGCTACTGTAGATAGAGACAATAACAGAAAGCTGGGATGTGAAGGATATACAACCACGTGAAAAATATAAACAGAATTTCGACGTTTCGAGCGAAGGCCCTTCGTCGGTAGCCTCGGCTCAAAATGTCGAAGTTGAGCTTATATTTTCAGGTAGTTGTATATCCTTCAGACCTTCATACCACAGCTTAAAATACTCAACTATTCAACATTAACGCCTGTATTCTAAAAGCTCACTCACACTCAATGAGTGGAGGTTCAATCTGAGCTTCTCTTGAGTGTCAACCCTGTTTTTAATAGCTGGAGAGTTAGTGTCGTACCTTGCTATATGACTACTCACCCTCCAGCTATTCAAAAACAGCATTGGCACTCGAGAAAAGCTCAGATTCAACCTCCACTTATTGAGTGTGAGTGAGCTTTTAGAATACGGGCGTATGTGTGCATGTCATGCAGCTCACCAAATGTGAATTAGCCTGCGTGCAGGCCCAAGGGAACTGATAGTGGGCTAGCCTGCGTGCAGGCCCAAGGGAACTGATAGTGGGCCTGCAACCATCGCCCGGTATTTTGTAAAACGCCCCTTTTCATAACACGCCCCATTCGCGCGTCAATTGTCAAAAAAGAACCAATGACAGCACCCAAATATTAACAAACAAACTCGCATTAAAATGTTGCGGGGTTTTCTCTGCTGATTCAGAACACTAATAAACAATGTGTAAATGGCTGCGTTTTAACTCCAAAAAAGCAAGCAACGCAGTCAGTAATTGCCAAATTTGCAAGTGCTCATTTTCAACTAAAATCGGAACAGGCAAATTAGGACGAATTTCAACAGAAAACCAGTCTCAAACTTCAAATCATGAGGGAAGTCGTGCGACCACATTAGGATTTATATTATGTGTGTTTCGCTGTCGCCATTGGCATTGTTATAAATAAATTGTCTCACTTATCAGATCGTGTGTGCAATTCTTGTTGGCGGCGGAAAGTACGAAATTTATTTCATTTGGTAAAGAACTCTACAAAAGAAGAGAGCGTTCCGAGTCCAGATCGTTTCGTTTCAAACGGCAATTTTAATAATACCGTCTTCTGTTTCGCTCTCTCAGCGAAGCCTTGTAAATCGCAAAGTGTTTCGAATAGGCTTACAGTCCTTACATGCAACTGCATCTCAACATCAACCAAAAGATAATTTTCTTGAGGAAGTGAGAACACTTAACGTATCAACTGAAGTCTGTTTGAAATTAATGAAACTCAAGTAAAGGTTACTATAGTTTACCCCAGTCGTAATTTGCTATTCCAACACCTCACGACAAGCAATCCCCATTGGCATAACGGAAAAAACATGTCTTCCTTCAAGTAAACAATAAACAGTCTGTTCTTGTTCCATTTGTAATGGAAAAAAGTGACCAATTTTCAAATTTTAAGCTTATCGAGAGCCTTTGTCTATGCCTTTGTGATGAATCACTGTTCCCTTGGGCCTGCATGCTAGGTTAATTAATTACCGATCGCCTCAGCTAGCCAATGGGAATTTAGCCGGCGGTTCGGCCGGCGAAAATCGAAAACATGGGGTGATGGTTGCAGGCCCACTACCAGTTCCCTTGGGCCTGCACGCAGGCTAAATGTGAATCGCTTTAAAACATTCGTTTACTGAGGCATGCAGGTGTAATTAATGTCAAACTATTTCTAGTATATAGTTCCAAGGCATTACGGGCACGTATAATACAATTCTATACACGCTGCCATTCAGCTTATAAAAGTGAGTCAATTACTCATATATTTGTGTCATTATTCTCTCTAAATGCTATCAATATGTAATTCGTAAATGATTTGACTACTTACGACGACTTACGCTTACGTTGAAAAATTTTTAATTTTAATTTTTAAATTTAGAAAAATTTTTAATCTGGGAATAACAAAGGATATTTTCTGAAAGAAGTTATCAAAATTAGAAAAACTGCAAAGTTTGGTTGCGAAATGTTGTAAAATACGGAAAATATAGCCCTGCGAAGTTCGGGCAAATTTGTATACATTTCTATTACGTGCGGAAATTGGTAACTAATTTAGTTACCAATTCACGCACGTACTACAAAAGTATACAAATTTGCCAACTTTGAAGAGCTATATTTTCCGTATTTTACAACATTTCGCAACCAAACTTTGTAATATTACTAATTCCAAGACGCTCTTTCCAGCTGTGGTGATAGATTTCGTTGTTCTTACTTAGATTAAAATTTAGTCTAAAGCGCAAGTCGTCCATTGTTGCAACTCGACCTCTACTGATTGATAAAGTAACGAGCAAAATCGGACGAATGCAAGAGAAAGATCGACTTGTCTCTCCAGCATGTAAGTTTTTCGTTTGAGTTTCGCGCCACAACTGTGGGGAAATGTGACTATTAATAACAGGGTGCATAATTTGTGCTACTTCTAGATCTAGTTTTTTAATTAGACTTTCGGAAGTTTATTTATCAATATGAAATGACCAAGTGCGACCGGCTTTGATTGAGATTCTTTTTTTAACGTTTCCTCTGGTTGTTTGAACTAAAAAGCAACGACAATCCTAGCGAGCACATATATTGTATATATAGATCATGTTACCGACCCGTTTTTGGGGCGGTAAAATTCGGCGGGCTGCAAGTTAGAAAAGTCCTTCGTCTCACTCAGTTCTTAAAGACGCCTGTCACCTGCTGAGTGATGTGAATTAGTCGACGTGAAACTTCAAACAGTTCGTGAACTTTATAATCTCGTTTTCTATAAACTTATTCCAAAACATATAATGTGAATCACACAATACAATCCTGATTTCATTACAATACCAATCTACGCATGTTCTTTTTCTTGTCATGTGACATTGTCTACGTCACAATACTACAAACTTTTTTCACATTTTTCGCATTTGTGAGAAAGGAGTGGCGATATTATATAATATGCACAATAGTCACAATGTGACTCATTGTATAATAAAAGACGGCCTAATTTACACTGATCATGAATCCCCCAATTTAGATGGATTTGTGAAAGACTAAAAAGAGTGCTCAATACTATAAACAGTACAGTATAGAGCTATGTAAAAAAATCGCCTGAAGATCGATCAGACAAGATCGTGAAACTCAGTGTAGCGAAAAAACATTGTTATTTTAAGATATTTATAACTTTAATTGACTTAGGTCAATTTATCTGAAGAGGCCATTACTGTGGTACGAAACTATTTAGTAATAAAGATGTCTAGTGGATTTTGTTGATTTGTTGTACCTTAATTTATATATATATATATATATATATATATATATATATATATATATATATATATATATATATATATATATATATATATATATATATATATATATATATATATATATCTTTGTTGTTAATTACCTAATTTTGCGAAATTAATTCTCAGGATAAACACACAAAAACGACTGTATAGGTTTACATGATTGCCAAGTGTTCAACCCCTAGTCATACAACTGACTGATTTCGAAATTTGCATTTTCTAAAAGAATATAGTTCTCGGTAAATGCAAAGCGTCGGAGGATTCGGTTGATTTATTCTGTTTTAGGCCTTTTAGCTTTGCCTTCGCCTTTCGACGAAAAGCGAACGTATGCAGTAGGTCAATATATGAAACAGTTTCTACTGGTTATGTTACAAGATGCAACTTAACTTTGTCTTTGATCGTGATTGTATCGAAACGAATATGGCCGAGGGTTACGACACAACTCGTTTTCATTCAACTATTGACGAGGGCTTTGTTTGCTGTATCTGTCTCGGTGTCTTACAAGATCCAAAGCAATGTGAGAAGAACGAGC